CAGCAGGTCAATATAAACAATAATAAAGTAACGATAATAATAGCAAACATATATATGTAGTCAAAGTGTGTTCACATGTTAAGTCACTTCTTCCTCACAACAATTCTGTGACAACGGTAGGTATTATTATTACTATTTTACAGATGAGGAAATTGAGGCACTGAGAGATTAAGTAATGAAGGCAATGTCACACAGCTCATAAATGACAGAACGAGAATTTGAATCCAGTCAGGCTCCAGAGTACACATTCTTTTTCTTTTTTTCTTAGATTTTTATTTATTTTTAGAGAGAGAGGAAGGGAAGGAGAGGGAGAGAAACATCAATGTGTGGTTGCTTCTCACACGCCCCCTACTGGGGACCTGGCCTACAACCCAGGCATGTGCCCTGACTGGGAATTGAACAGGCCTGTGCTTCAATCCACTGAGCTACACCAGCCAGTGCCAGAGTACACATTCTCATTAACTGTGCTAAAGACAATAAGCCCAGAATAGTGGGGAAAATCCTTATCACCTGGAGATTTTCTTTTTTTTTCAAAATACCCATGCCTACCCTCCAGTTCCAAATGTTTGCTTGTTTGTTTTTTATTTTGAAAGAGCTTCTCAGATAACTTGGACATTGGCCTCATATTGAGAACCACGAATTAGATAATTCCAACAACCTCCCAACCTGGCGTTCTGGTTCAGTTCAACCTACTGTTGTCCTGCCAGGCGTGGTCAGGACTGCTTCACACAACACATCAGTGTGTGGGCTGAGAGTGGAGATATCATGACCAGTACTGCTGAATCCAAAAAAAAGGCATCAGTATCAATAGCTTGGAGGAGCTGTGGTGAGCAGAGACAGACAGCTTTCTTAATGCCTACATAATATTTGATGTGATTCTTTTTTTCATGTCCATCTGATTTGATCCAATAGCCAAGAAGAAAACCAGCTACTTAGCTGGGGATGGCACAAGGCAGCAGTTTGCTCCTCATTAGCCTGAAAGCTTATAAAACAAGAAAGCAGGAGAGAAGGAGAGCAAAGAAAGTATTCTTGGCATAGGTCCAGGGGAAAAGCAGTCTGGCTGAAACCTTTCAGTTCCCTTAGCCAGGAAGCAGCAATCTACGTAAACAGGAAGTTGAGAAGGTTGGGGGAGAGGGCAGTGGTTAGTTAGTGAGAACAAGAGCTGACGCCAGATCTGTGTAAGTGGTTACATGCAAAAAAGATTCTTATACAGGCCCAGATTTTGCATGTTAACCATCCATGCTCTCTCCTGGGCAGTGTTGTTTCATCAGAGCATCTGTGTGGTGTATGCTGGGGCCTGTTCTTACATGGATACATATTTGAGCACCTGCTTTTTTTTTTCTTTTTGCCAGTTGTCTGCTGGGTAATTTTATCTTATCTCATTTAAGAGTCTAAACACTTTGTGAAGATGGCATTATTACTTCCATGTTTTTAGGTAAGAAAACTGGCTCATTGAGACTAAATTATCTTGCTCAGATTCATTTACATTATACAATTATACAGCACTTTTGAAAATTGTTTCCTGTCTGAAAAGTGAGTGTTAAGCATAACCTATTAGAAAGAGGGTGTATAAGTTTTCTAAGGATACTGTAATATTTTACTACAAACCTGCTGGCTTAAAACAATAAATCTATTTTTCACATCATTTTGGAGGCCAGAAGTCTGAAATTAAGGTGTCTGCAGGACCACGCTCCTTCTGAAGGCTCTAGGGGAGAATACTTCTTTGCTTGCCCCAGTTCCTGGTCACTCCAGACATTCTTTGCCTTGTGGCTGCATAACTACAATCTATTCCTCTGTCCACATGGTAGTACCTCTATGTTCCTATCTACTGTTCTGTCTCTTATAAGGACACTGTTCACTGGATATACAGCCCAACTGGATAATGCAAGATGATCTCATTTAAAGATCTTTAACTTAATTACAGCTTCAAAGCCTCCCCTGCCATTTTTTTCCAAATAAGGTAACATTCACAGGGACAAGGTATGGGGACATGGATGTATCTTTTTGGGAGCCACCATTCAACCCCAAATGGGATATCATTATCAAACTATAAATGCAGATGCTGTAGTATTTTAATAACCATGGATTTGAGAGGGATATTATCTTGATTAATGTTCCCATGGCCAAATCCCCATTCTTTAAAAGAATAAACTTTCCAAAATGCTGTTCTCCCACCACCCCTACCTATTCTCCCAAACCTAAGGTCTATTAGAATTTCAGGGCAAGACGGAAATGTATCACAAAGGCATAGTATTTTGAAAATGCACTCCAAGTGAAGATGATATACCTCCTTCTCACAATGCACATGACCACACATGGTTGAGGATTACTTCACTTAGGAAATGCTGTAACTTCGGCTGATGGGTAAGGGGGAACCTTGGGGTTTGTTGGTTGTATGTTGAAAAAAGAAAGAGAAAAATCTAACACTAGTGATCATGGAAATTCAAAGTTGCACTGATCTGAAGAGCATCAGATCCAAAAAGCATGGTTGGAAGGAAGGACAGGATTACTACACAAGAATGACACTGTTGCCCATGTGACATGTCTGAAATACAAATGTAGTCAAGTTACTCTCTGCTTGAGGTTTTTCACTGACTCCCTTTGAGTACCAGGTGAGTTTCAGATCCCTTAACAGAGCACACAAGGACTCTGTAAACTGGCCTGTACCTATGCTTTTAGACGCATCTTTCACCACTCTCTCTCAAAGACTGTCTCCTCCGGCCACACCAAAACTCTTGCTGTTTCCTAAACAAGTCATGTGCTCTATTGCTTTTCTAGACTTGAACATTCTGTTTCATCTGTTTGCAATGCTCTTTTTTCCTCTCTGCCTGGAAATTCCTACTGATACCTTAAGAGTAATTTCCCTGCTCTTCATTAGCAAGCCTCCTTACTGCTTTCCATGACTGGCACCTTCCCCTGTTGTGATTTCAAGTCAATCTATTCATGGGAATTGTTGACCTGTGTTACGTCCAATCTTTCTCCAATGCTTTGAGAGCTTTTAGAAAGAACCTCCATATTCATCTGCAAGTTCCCAGTGTCTAGTAGGTGTTCAATAAATGTTTGCTGAAAAGTGAAGGGACAGAGTCATCAATGGCTTCAAGTTGGAAATTCTTGGTTTGGTGACAGTAACATCTAGGCTTTCAATCTTTGTAAACGTGTCAGGTTAGAGTCACAGACAGAGAAGAGGTAGTTCGAGACATAAGTCTAGAAGAGGCACAAGAAGGAATTGTAAGAAACTGAGTTACTCAGTTTGGGGCCATAAAGAGGGTAGTTTAAGATAGATTGGTAGTCCTCAGTCCATTTCCCCATCTTCACCATGAAGAATACTGAAGTGCAATTATATAAAGGTTTCCCATCAATGCCAATGACAACACATCAGAAGCGTTACAGATGACAGATGAAATACAAGTAACTGTTAGTACTGATAACAGGGAGCTATGTAATTATGGGATGAACTGGGGAACAGAAGGCAAAAGGAAACAATTTATGAGAGACACTTTAGGAACTTACTGAACAAGATAAGAGGGATTTGATGTTGGACCCCGTGGCTTATGTACATATGTTGGTTTAGAGTCTATTATATTTGTAGTACCTGGTTCTTTTACCTGATTCTGAGGAAAGTGGATCATTTTGCTCACCTATGGCATTTGTTCAGGTCATCTGATCCATAGACTGGCAATAGTAAATGAGTCTTGGGTCTTGGTAGGAGGACTCTTCTTCAAATAATGTTAGTAATGTCTGAATCAGTTGGCTCAAACAACACAGTATAATCTAAGACCTAAAACCAGAGTGTATACCAATTGGATACCTTATTTAACTTCTATGTGCCTCAATTTCCTCTTTATAATAATACTAATAATACATACCTCATAAGGTTGCATTAAAAATACAATGTATTACTTAACCCTTAATAAGAGTGATCAATAAGCATTACCTATTATTATAATTTTAGGAGGCAAATACAAAAATTTTTAATTATGTGAGGTGGTGGATATATTAACTAACCTTATTGGAGGAACATTTTGCAATATATATGTGTATCAAGTCATCAAGTTATATACCTTAAACTTATGCAGTATTATGTGTCCGTTAATTCTCAAGCTGGAAGGGAAAATGGCATATACTCAAAGTACCTTCTTCTAAACTTAAATAATAATAGTTATCTTTTTCTAGCATGATAGGACCTGTATTAGTCAAGACTTAAAGTTGCAAATGACAGAAACCCAGTTAAACTGGCTTAAGCAAGAAGAGAATTTTCTTGACTTGTCTATTTGAAAAGCCCAGGGTAATGTTTATCAGCTTCAATATGTAGTTGGTTTCAAGGGCAAAAAGTAACACCGTAGGACTTGGATTCTTTTTACCTCTCAGCTCTGCTTTCTTCTACATTAATTTTATTCTCAGACAGTTTCCTCTTGGAGAAGCAATATGACTATTGACAGTGTTAGACTTGCATCCCCACAACTTAACCATAGAGGAAAACATCCAGCAAAAATTCTGACATTGATTCTCATTGGTCCAAAGTACATCCAATGCTTATTCCTGACCCAACCACTGTTTTGTTTGGCTTGGCCTGGATCATATGCTTATCACTGAGTGAGTAGTAGGGCCTTTCCACAAAGACAAAGTGAGGTGTGATGACCAGAAGAAATGCAAGTGAAGGCAGCCAGGGACAGATTCAGGTTTTGTGGAGCCTGAAGCTTTCAATTTTGGGCTTCTCCTTAATAAAAATAATACAAAATTACAAATTTAAAAATAAACATTAAAGTGAATTTTATTAAGAATGAAAAAAATAGCCTGGCTGGTGTAGCTCAGTGGATTGAGCGCAGACTGCAAACCAAAGGGTCACTGGTTTGATTCCCAGTCAGGGCACATGCCTAGGTTGCAGGCCAGGTCCCCGGTGGGGGCCTCGTGAGAGGCAACCACACATTGATGTTTCTCTCTCTCTTTCTCCCTCCCTTCCCCTTTCTCTAAAAATAAATAAAAATAAATTCTTAAAAAAATAAAGTTAAAAAAAAGAATGAAAAAATAAATCGCAACAAATTATTGGTATCTTGGCAATTCTGTTCTTTTTGTCCAAAGTCTGTTTAGGCAATCTACCAGAAATGCTTGAGTGCTTCTTGATTGTAATGTGGCTTCTTCTTCCCATCTAGAACAGTCCACAACTCCCAGAATCTCCCAGCACTTACAGAGACCCATGCAAGTGAAGGGCTCTGAAGCTTAGAACTTTGTTAGCTTCGTAATAAATCCATCTTTAGACACAGGGCAGCAAAAACAACAGATGTCTATTTCTTAATAGCAATTTTTTTTTAAAGAATGGTGATCTGGACTACCATCCAAATAACTCTGCTCAGGCCACCGCGTCTGGGGAACCTTGAGTCTTGGCAGAACAAGTGATCATCATTTTGTACTTTGTGGCACTGGCCAAACCCAGCTGGATTTTTGCTACACTGATTTTAACAGCTCTGCACTCACGTAATTCAGTGCTTTAAAAGGCCATGTTTTATTTGGCACTGATGCTTTCAACAAATTTACAGGGGCCGTTGGCCCGAGGAGTCAAAAGCTGAACCTGTTCTGCCACAGCTCCTGGCCATGTCCTAATTTCCTCTTTCTTTTTCTTCTCATCTACTTCTTCTTTTGCCTCTTACTTCTCTTCTTCCTTCTTCTCTTCCTCCACTTTTCTTCTTCCTTCTCCTCTTCTTCCCTGATTGTTTTGACGGATCATTCAGTTCAGACAGTACATCACACATGAGGCCTAAATTATGAGCAAATTCCACTGACGTCAGGCCATTTGTACATCCAGTGAACTTGGCTCAGTTTTTGGCATTTAAGCTGTGTCCAGTGGAGACAAGTGCCTTCAGGGCAACAGAGGCATTCCAGATGGTGGTGTTCAGATAGGCTCCCTAGCACGCTGCCTCCCATCTGGGCCACCACTCTGAATGCCATAGGCCACTCTCGGTACATCCCCATAGCTGCTGTTGACTCTTGGAAGGAGCGCAGCAAACATACTGTGACTTATCAGGGAAAACCTGCAGATGATTAACTCTGAGCCCATTATATGATGCATTTCCATCCAAGCGGACTCCAGGCTGGGAATAAAAGCAGGGTAGGCAAGAGAGTAGGCACAGTGAAACACCAGGAGTTTAGCAACAATTGTACATGCTTTTCCCAACAAAAGAGACTTATCAGTAGGAGAAATAAAATATTTAGAGATAGACAAACTTGGGTTCAGGGCCCTGCTGTGTCACTCATTACCTGTGTGAACTTGAAAGACTGGTAGAGAGGTTATGTGTTCTTTCCCACACTGCTACTTCTGGAAACAGCAGCTACTTTCCTTTGGGGCACTCCTTTCCTACTCCACGAGGCCTCGGGGGCTCTGTCCTCCTACCCCCAAACCCCCTCAGGGATAGTACCCACCCGGGCCAATTACAGTGTCACAGCCCCTGAGGGCATAGCAAATAAGCCCATGATGTATGCCAGCCATGCTACTGCTTCCTTGAAAGTTACACATTTCTAAGTTGGATCAAAGCTATATATGAATGTTAATATACCTCATAACTCCAAAATGAGGGAGAAAGTAAAACAGCTGTCACTCTAGCTGGGAGAAATGGAGACATCTAAAGTTAAAAAGCCATGCCTCCACTTCCCTGAATCACTGCCACAGCTACCTACCTAGATTTATGGAGGCAATGTGGGATTACACATATGTGAATTTTCCTGGCAGTTGAAGGTTAAAGGTTATTCTTTCAAGGATGAAAGAACCTTTTTTTTTTTTTCCTTTTTAACCATATAATTCAGGCTTTTCTAAAATGTTTTAGACACTTCCCTTAATTTATAAAAGATAACCACACTTAACCTCTCCTGGGTGGCTCAGAGTCATCAAAATGAAGTTAGTAGGCTGTGTGATAACATAATTTGAGGGGGTTTTTTTCTTTTTTTTTTTTTTTATGTTTGTCCTACCCTACACTTCCTAGCTCCTTCCGGCTCACCCAAGCACCACAGGGTGAACTCCCTACAAGAATGAGCTTCATTCATAGCCAAAGCTCTGGTTCTCTTCCTGTCTTACATCTCCCTTCCTGATGTGTTCTTACATTCCTCTGGCTCTTGAACTTCTGTTTGCTTCCTGCTTTTAGTCCAGCAGTTTCCCCTTAGATCTCACCTGTGATACAGCTGCTCTGTAACTGACCTTTGGTCCTTTTCCTCATATGCCATTCTGCCTTTGCCCTTGGGCCCCATTCTGCTTCCAGCTGGCAGTTGTACTGAGCCAGGGTAGGGTCCCATGACAAGGGGTCAGATGTTAGTGTTCCTGCTGCCTTTCATGTAGTTAAATAGACTGGGATGATTTACTTCAGAGACAAAGAACCTTATACACCACCATAACCCTCAGACTAAGACTTAAAATATCTGGGTGTAGAAGGGTTATAGCAAATATGCTTATTAGTGCAGAGGGCACATTGTAATAGGGCCATGTAGATATCAGTTCTCTGAGGAGTGTCAGTTGCCATTTTTAATGGTTAATTGGGTTACAGGTGCTTTGTCGGAATTGTTAAATTTCCAAGCCTGACATCTAGGCTCAGTTGCTGGTCTCTATATTGCCCAGGCCTCATTTTCTCTTGCTCTCCCCATGGACCCATGATCCCAAGTCTCCCTAGGTTATAACATTTTCTTTTTGCTTCAGCAGACTCAGCTCTTCTTCTCCATAAAAATGACAAAGATGAGTTAGTAAAACATGAAAATGTATGTATATACATGCTGAAATTGTTTTTACCCTGTGTAAGGGTTAAAGGCAATGACACGCTAAAAGTTTTATGAAAGAATGGATGCACTTAGGTAAAGCTATGAGAAACATTGTAAAGGACAGATCATGTGAAATTAAATGCTTAAGTTAAGTATAAACATCTAAGTCCCATTTTAAGAACTTCAGAGAACCCTGGGTTATGTTCTCGATAACCCACTGAGAAGCAGCTTCTTGCCTCCTCTGCGTGGAGCTGGCCCATCTGGCTGTCCAGCCACAGAACACATGAGAGCCCAGCCTGGAGGCCCCACCTTTGACATGCACACAGAAACTTCCCTCTTTTTCCACCCCTCTTGCTCAGTTCCACTACATTTGGGCTCTGTGATCTGATGGCATACTTTAATGCAGTGGTCCTCAAACCTGGCCCCACATCAGAATCATCCAGAGAGCAATTTAAAAATTCTGATGTCCAGGCCCAAATACAACAGATTAAATCAAAATCCTGGTTAGGGTCCCAAGAATGAAATTTCCCCCTAACATTTTATTGAGAAAAACTGCAAACGTTCAGTTTAAAAACATTTACAGGACCCATATATCCACCACCTAGATCTACCCATTAGGATTTTGTTATGCATGCTTATCCATCTCTGAACATTTTAACATTCCTCCGACCATCCATTAATACATTTCATTTTTATTTATTTATTTACTTTATTTTTAGACAGAGGGGAAGGGAGGGAGTGAGGGAGAGAAACATCAGTGTGTGGTTGCCTCTTGCACGTCCCCTACTGGGGACCTGGCCCACAACCTAGGCATGTGCCCTGACTTGGAATCCAACCCGCAACCCTTTGGTTCACAAGCCAGTACTCAATCCACTGAGCCATACAAGTCAGGACAATCCATTTCATTTTTTGATACAATTTAAAGTAAACTAATGAACACAGCCTATGGAGAGAGAGAATGCAGAGTTATTGCTGATTGACTGCACAGTTTCTGTTTGGGGTGATTAAAAATGGTTCAGAAATAGATAGTTGCAATGGTTGCACAATATTATGTATGTAATTAATGCCACTAAATTGTGCACTTAAAAATGATTATAAAGGTTGCCCTGGCCAGTGTGGTTCATTTGGTTGGAGTGTTGTCTCATACACCAAAATGTTGGGGGTTTGATTCCTGGTTAGGGCACATACCCAGGTTGTAGGTTCCATCTCTGGTCAGGGCATGTATGGGAGGCAACTGATCAATGTTTCTCTTTCACGTTGATGTTTTTTTCCTCTCTCTCCCTCCCTTCCCCTCTCTCTAAAAATCAATAAATATATTAAAAATTTTTTTTCTATTATATAGGTAAATTTTATCATACAGACATATATGCACACATATAGTATACAAGTATATACCTATATTTTTAAACTATATATATTTTTTAAAGAATTTATTTATTAGCCTTGGCTGGTGTAGCTCAGTGGATTGAGCGCGGGCTGCAAACCAAAGTGTCACAGGTTCGATTCCCAGTCAGGGGTACATGCCTGGGTTGCAGGCCATGACCCCCAGCAACCGCACATTGATGTGTGTGTGTGTGTGTGTCTCTCTCTCTCTCTCTCTCCCTTCCCTCTCTAAAAATAAATAAATAATACCTACATTTGAATCCTGTTGCTTACTCTATGAATCTGGACAGGCAACTTAACTTCATTCTGTAATCTAGGGGCTATAACACCTACCTCATTGGGTTGCTATGAGTTTTAAATGGCAAACTCTATGGATAGTGCCTACAGCATAGTTAGGACTCAGTCAATGTTGTTGACCATACTCTTGACAGCATGGTCATATTATTATTCTCTTTGTGTCCTAGTGCCTTTTATAAGATTTTTGTCGCTTTTCTGCCTTTTAAATTTCACTTCATCAGAAACCTATTTAGCACCTGCTATCTACTAGCAAGTATGATGGGCACTAGTTCTAGAAAATACAACACAAATAAAGTCCCCATTTTCAATGTGCTTACAGTTTAATGGGAATGAGAGATGTGACACAACCAAGTTTACAGAAAAGCAACCTAACAAACTGCAAACTGGGGCGCAGGTGACAATGATGGGTACATGGCTGAAGGGATGAGGGACTGACTGTCTAGGAACATCAGGAATAACATCAGAGGAGTAAGGACTTTGTTGCTCTAAAGGAAGTGAAGACTTCCAACAAGCAAAACATGTTTATTGTCTGTCCCTTTCCTTCTCCATTAGAAGGTAGGTTTCATGAGACCTGGGATCTTGACGTATAGTAGGTATTCGATAAATGTTTGTAAATGAATGAAAAAGCTGTGCTAAAGGCTTCACATGGATTATCTCACCTTCTACTCACAGTGACTCCCATTCAATAACACCATTAGACTCCCCTTTTCACAAATGACAAAACAGAAATTTAAAGAGCTTACACAGCTAGAATGTGGTAGAACCCAGATTTTAACACAGGCAATTTGATCCCAAAACTTGTTCTGAGTTAGTTTATTTGATTGCAGGACTTCTTGGAGCCTCTGAATCTGCCATCTACAAGAGAAGGGAAGCATATACAACATTATCCAAACTTACTTGACCACAGAATTCTCTTTGCGTGTGTGTGTGTATGATATTCCTAGAGTTGTATAGATATATTTTGGGAATCCTGCCATATATTTTCTAGCTCATTTGACTGGGAAGTTAGTAGAGCTTTATTTATAGGCCAATAACAACTCCATTGTGATCTCATGTGGTCTAATATACCTAAGGGGCATGGTGGGATGAAGGGAAAGGGATAGAATTCGTCTCAATGGGAAAGCAAAAGCAGTAAAAGCAATAGACTAGGAAAAGTATCTAGGCGAGGGTCCAATAAAAAAAAAAGGTAGTCCTAGTAAGGGAGGAAGGTGGTGCTAAGATCACCTTTCTTTCAGCAAAATCTGTGACGGCTGAGTATGTAGGCCTGAGCAAAGCAGCAGAAAGTTAAGTTTGGTCTATGACATAGAGGAGATCTATGTCATATGATGCAGACCTTCAATGGATGAATAGACACTGGTATTATTTACTCAATATCTGTTCTCTTCCTTCCTCTTTCTAACAGAGCCCCATGAGTCCCCTTGTAATTTACCTTCTTTCTCAGCCCTGTGCTTCTGTTAGCCAATCACTCCCCTTGCCAGTGAATATTGTAGAAATGAAAAGGTCACCTTTTGCAAATCTGGTCAGTAAGACAAAAAGGCAAGTCTGCTTGGAGACTTCTGGGAAAGGTTTGCCTGTTCATGAAAAAGAGACACATGGAAAGAGGTGTTGTTTGTTTTCTGTTTGTGATGTCTGGGACTGGAGAAAGCTAACAGTAATAATGAGAATAGCAGAGCATAAAAATGGAATATTTTCTCTTTAGTTCTCTTTTATGTTTTTATTTTTTATATTTGGAGGCATAATAAAGGGATTAAATTTTAGATAAGGAAATAAGTCATTCATTGCCAAGGTATAGCATTATTCTGTTTCAGAATTTTGCTATAACTCCCTGTTTCAGTTGACTGTTTCAGGAATGAGGGTCTTGGTCTTAGTTATACGTGCAGTTTGCATGAAATATTGCAACAGAGATGAATCAGTGCCAGCACAAGGGTACTACGTAAATCAGCATAAGTGGGACTTGTATTGGAAAAGGCAGAAGGGATGGAGCTGTCAGATCAATGACAAAATATTGGAGTAAAGATCCCCAAGCAACTGCAGCTGAGGATTTTAGGGATACTTCCCATTTCTAAATTAGGTTCTTATCTCTCTGATGCCCAAATACATGGCTGTGCCTGGGTCTTGTAAGAGTCCCACTTGAAACCTGCAAAGTCTGCTATGCTTTCATCTCAAAAACATGAGGCTAGCTGCCTGCATCCTTGCCTTAGAGCTTTTAGATATGTCCTGGAGCAGATGTAGGCCCTGTCAGACTCACCTCTTGCATTGTTGGTTACTCTGGGGGAATGGAAACTCAATACAAATAAAACAAGAGGTTCTCCTTGGCCAGATAATCCTGTCTACATGCTTCCTTTAGGGCAGTCAGACAGCCATGGGCTTCAGAGTCTGGTGCCAACAGATTTTTAGATGTTTTAAGGAGCAGCTGTGAGCACTCCTACCCCTCACTCCATGAACTTGCTCAGGTAATTTGTCCAAGGCCACACAGTTAGTAAGTGGAAGAGTGAGGATTAAAACCCAGTTGTCTAGCTCCCAACATCTGTGCACATAATCATTACACTAAATGAGACCTGTTAAACCTGTGCCAAGTAACATCATGCATGAGAAAGTCCTATGAAGTGCTTGCAGACAGAAAAAGGTTATGAGACTGATTCCCCACCTTTCACTTTTACCCCAAATTTAGTAGAGCCTTTCACTCTCAGTAAAGACCACTGGTTCCTCACTATTGATGCGTAGCTTCATGCTTCACACCCAGCAAAGCACAATTAGGGAAGTCAGTCTTATCTTAAACTCAAGGAAACCACTTATGTGGGCACATCTATCATTTATATCCCTCCTACTGAAGGGAATCCAGCAGGATGAACAAACCCATGAACCAGTAACTTTTGTTGGAGAGGGAATCTCAGTTACTTGATGGAGATGGTTTCTCAGAACTGGGCACTTGGGCAAAGCTGCCTTGGGCAATGAAAAGGCTGGGCAACTTATCACCACCTTTCTGAGGCATTGTTTGAGAGTAAGCAGTAAACCTTGTTTCATATTCTTTTCCTTGACTTGGTACATTTGTTGGGAACCGCCCTGCCTGGTATCAGAAGCTGTAGCCCCCACCTATGCTAAGGCTGAGGGAATGACCTTGGACCATAAGCCAGGAAGGAGACAAAAGCTTATCTCCCTGGAAGGAGCACCGCTTCTGCTCCTTTTACTTCACCCTGTATGGCCCCCAATGCTTGGTCGGCTAGCCAATGATGGGTAAGATTCCCCAAGGGGGGAACGATCTAAGATGGGCACGATCATGTGGGAGGCCCCCAAAGAAGGACTTTGGGGCTATAGCAAAAGAGGGCGATGGACCCTCGCCCCTTGGCTTTGGCAAAGCCTGAGTCCTCATTGTCTGTGAGAAAATCTCCTTATCTCTTAGTTGCTTTAGTTCTCTTGCTCCACCTAAGTCTGAAACAATGACAGGGTGCTGCAGCTCTGTGCTGGAAAGGGTGGGTTCCCCGGGGCAATCAGGCCTAACAAAGAATATGTAAAATCCTGTGAAAACTGCTTTGTTTAGAATGCTCTCAATTAAATGATAAGGGTCCAAGCAAGAAGTGAGTTTGTTTCTTAAAGTTTTTACAGCTCTTTGACCCTGACTCAAAATAGGCCCTCAGACTTCCTTGTTACCTATTGTTTGATCCTTACTTCCTGGCAATGAGTAATGAGCTTTACCTGAATTCTTATGCAAATGAACCCAATAAAAAGCCTGCTTGGGCGGGAGAAAAGGGCGCTCTCCCTTAGGGGCGCTCTCCCCTAGGGAGGGTGGCCATGGAGATCCCCACTAGAGAGAGTGGCTGTTCCATCCCTATTTCCCCACAGGACCTGGTTATCTCTGTGTATGTTTTTCTCGTGTTTCGACAAGCCATCTGCAGCGTTCTGCGGTCACTGCTGGTCGGTGGCCACAATATACATTTATTGGACAAGGAGCTCTGTTCCAGGCTTTCTAGCTGCTTTTATACCTTCAATGGCATGAAAGTATGGTAGTTATAAAAACTTGTTTATGTATTATTGATATAATATATAATGATATGATATGTAATTGTATATTATATACAGAGTCCAGCACAAATAATGCCCCCTTTTTTATTACAAAATCATAGGCATGTAATTTTGTAACATAACAATATCACACTCAAGCATACCATATGTTTTAGGTGAAATGTTCAAATTAAAGCTATAAATTATTATACCCATGTTATTACTCTACTGGTCACACTCGAGCAGGAAGGAGTTACTTCTGCTGGATCCTGTATAATTTTACTTTTTATTTTATATTTTATAATTATATTTACACATTATCAATATAACTATACAGGAAAATATAGGTGTACAGTTGTGAGTATGCAGAACAGTTTGTTCTTGTATTGTTTATTAATTATTGCATTATTGTCCAAACTATAAACCTACTTTTGCCATACCCTGTGTTTATATAACAATCATTTTATATTTTATTGTTTTATATACAATTATTATCTTATAAATTTATAGTCTACAAAATGCTTGTAATATGACCCTTTTTGAGAGGACAATGGGAATTCGTGCTCATAATCTTGGCATAGCATATTTGGACAGGTACTAAAAATGACTGTTGGTGATGCAATGGATAAGGTGGTGATGAAGTTAAAATAAACAAACTTGGAGAGGCAAGACAAAAAACTGTAGCTATTGGTCTAAAGTGTAGAGAAAGAGATAGTATCCAGCCTGCATTAAGTGGTAGTTGCCATTTATGCTGAAAAAGATTGTGTTTCTCATCAAGTAGGTGTGGACTCAGCAGAAGACAGCCAACCTGGGGCCATTTCAAATTTTGCTCAGAAAGGTGAAGTGACCCTAACAGAGGGTTGGTTCACCTGATTCCCACTGCTGTGGGAGGAAACATGAGTGACTAGCTAGAGGTAAATATTTTACCCACCAGACAGGCAGTTCAGTGGGTGCACTTCCAAAGTACCCATGAAACCACCCACGAGAAGAGTAGTCAGCTTTGAACAGCATCCAGAAAGAGACAGCCTTAAACATTTGCTACAGCTAGAGCAAACCTGTGGCAGGGTACCTTAGTGTCAGTCCAGAAAGACATTTCCTGCCCCTTAGTTCTCTTTTTTTAAATTATATTTTATTGATTATGCTATTACAGTCCCATTTTTTCCTCTTTTGCCCCCCTCCACCCAGCACGCCCTACTCTTCAGGCAACCCCCCCCCCATCATTATTTATATCTATGGGTCATATGTATAAGTTCCTTGGCTACTCCATTTCCTGGACTGTACTTTATATCCCCATGACTATTCTGTAACTACCTACTTGTACTTCTTAATCCCTTCACCTATTCACAAATTCCCCCACACTGCTCTCCCATCTGGCAACCATCAAAACTCTCTCTGTATCCATGATTCTGTCTCTGTTCTTTTTGTTTGCTTAGTTTGCTTTTTAGATTCAATAGTTGATAGATATGTATTTTTTGCCATTTTATTGTTCATAGTTTTGATCTTCTTCTTTTTCTTAAATTAGTCCCTTTAACATTACATATAATAATGGTTTGGTCATGATGAACTCCTTTAGTTTTTTTTTTGTATGGGAAGCTCTTTATCTGCCCTTCAATTCTAAATGATAGCTTTGCTGGGTACAGCAATCTTGGCTGTAGGTCCTTGCTTTTCATCACTTTGAATATTTCCTGCCAATCTCTTCTGGCAAAGTTTCTTTTCAGAAATCAGCTGACAAGAACTTCCCTGTAGGTAACTAATTGCATTTCTCTTGCTGCTTTTAAGATTCTGTCTTTATCTATCTTTAACCTTTGGCATTTTAATTGTGATGTGTTTTGAAGTGGGCCTCTGCATTCATCTTG